AACGAAACATACAAGGTCCCTGCCATCATGGGGTTTATATTCTAATGAGGAAATGAGACACCCCACAGTGAAGCAGTCAATGTGTGTAAGCATGTCATAGGGTGCTAGGTGCTATGGCATAAAGTAGGAATGCAGAGTGAGGGGGCTTATATTTCTATAACATGGCTGAGGAAGCAATCTTCTGACAAAAGCTCACCTAAGGTAAAGGGAGCAAAGGAGTGAAACCACTGATATCAGGGGTAGCATTCCAAGCAGCCCGAGTGGGAGCACAGAGGGCTGTGGTAGGAGCAATCTTAGAGTGTTCAAGAGACAGCAGAGAGGCCAACACTGGTGCAGGGGTTGGCGAGGGTAAGGTGGTAAGAAGTGACGTCAGAGACAGGCAGATGGCTTGGGCAGGCCATGGACTGTGAATTCTACTCTGAGTGGCAGAGGGCTAATGAAGGTTTTTTTGGGGTTTTTTTGTTCTTTTTGTTTTTGCGGTACGCGGGCCTCTCACCGTTGTGGTCTCTCCCGTTGCGGAGCACAGGCTCCGGACGCGCAGGCTCAGCGGCCATGGCTCACGGGCGCAGCCGCTCCATGGCATATGGGATCTTCCCGGACCGGGGCACGAACCCGTGTCCCCTGAATCGGCAGGCGGACTCTCAACCACTGCGCCACCAGGGAAGCCCTAATGAAGGGTTTTAAACAAAGGTGTGGAGGGACCTGATTTAGGCTTCAAAGGATCGCTCTGAATGAGACCAGGGAGAAGGCCAGTGCAATAACATAGGTAGATGTGATGTTGGCTTGGACCAGGTGGTCTAAGGCAGAGACAGGGGAGGTGAGAAATGGTCATGCTCAATACATTTTGAAGGCAGAACTTTCAGAACTTGTTGATGGATTGGATGTGGGGTGTAAACAGAAGGTTGGTCCCAAGACTGGGATGCAACGAAATGAAACGAGGGAGTTGCCATTTACTGAAAGGGGGAGATTAAGGAAGAAGAGGTGCGGAGGCAAATCAGGAGCCTGCTTTTGAACACGCTGATTGGATTGTCCAGTAAACACAAAGTAACGGCTGGATAAACAAATCTGGAGAGCAGGGGGAAGTCCAGACTAGAGATTCCCATTTGGGAGCATTGGACATTGAAACATTTGGTGGTATTGAAAGGTGGGAGGGCTTCCCTGGTGGCGCAGTGGTTGAGAGTCCGCCTGCCGATTCAGGGGACACGGGTTCGTGCCCTGGTCCAGGAAGATCCCACATGCCGTGGGGTGGCTGGGCCCGTGAGCCATGGCCGCTGAGCCTGCGCGTCCTGTGCTCCGCAATGGGAGAGGCCACAACAGTGAGAGGCCCGCGTACCGCAAAAAAAAAAAAAAAGAAAGCCAGGAGCCTGGATGAACCCACCTAGGGAATGAGAGCAGATGGGCCTCCATGGCTTCCTGCGGACAGGCCAATGTTCCAAGGTCAGGGAGATGAGAGCCCAGGAAAGGAGCCTGAGAAGGAGTGCCCAGTGAGTCAGGAGAGAACCGCAAGTGTGGCATCCTAAAGTAGTCACATGCAGAAGAGTTTCAAAGAGAAAAAACTGACCAACTGCCGCACGATACTGATTGCCACGTAAGATAAGACTGAGAATTGGCCATGGGATTTGGCAACTCAGAGGTCACCAGTGACCTTGGCAAGAGATACCTGGATGGGCAAGAGAGCATGGGAGGAGGAGGAGCAGAGACTTCGAGATTCCACAAGCCTCTGGAGGAGGTTCGTGTGAAGGGGAGCCCAGAAAACTGGTGATGTTGAGTGATGCTCGTGAGTGAATGAGAGGAAAACAAGATCAAGTGAACATGGGGGTCTTTTCATTAATGGTAATTTTTCAACAGTGTCCACGGTACAGGGAAGCAGGCACTATTCAGGGAGTGGAAATCATTCCAGCCTCTTGGGAAATGAGTTTAGCAATACACATCAAGAGCCTTGAAAGATGTCCATGCCCTTTGACCCACTAATTCCACTTCTGGAAATCTCTCCTCAGGAAATAATTCCAAATACAGAAGAAAGTTCTCTGCATAGACATTTGTCACAGAATTATTTATAATAGGTCTAGGAACATCTAAATATGCCACAATAGATAACGATTAAGGATGCAGGATGGACCCACTGACTGGATTATAAACTCCCTGAGAACAGGGATGGTGTCTATTTTATTTATCACTTACCCCCAGCACCTACCATGTAACTGATATTTGTTGAATGAATGAATAAATATTCTTATAAAGTTAAGCCAAAAAAAGATAAAATAATCCTTAAATTTACATGTAAATCTGAATACACTCACAGTATGATCTCAACCATGTTTTAAAAAAACAAACAAAAAACACCCTAACGCTATATATATAAAAACTAAAGAAATAACTCCCTAAAATGTAAACAGTAATCATCTTTGGGTGGTGAAATATGATTTCCTTTTTCATTTTATTTTGCATATTTTAAAAAATGAATATGATTACTTTTATAATGGAAAAAACAAGTCAAGGTCATTTCTTTAAAAAGGGAGGGCTTGGGAGTTCTCTGGCAGTCCAGTGGTTAGGACTCAGGGCTTTCACTACCATGGCCAGGGTTCAATCCCTGGTTGGGGAACTAAGATCCCACAACCCACGTGGCACAGCCAAAAAATAAGAAATAAAAATAATAAGGAAGGGCTAAATTTAGGCAGGATTTACACTCTCATCGACAGGACTCAATAAGGTTTTGCACCCTCCGAGTGTCCCCAGGCAGTCTTTGTCGGTGTGAGTCTCCAATTCCAGCCATGGTGCTCCTATGAAGATGGGTTCCTCCCACTACTATCAGGGACAGGTCTGTTTTCTGGGTGAGAAAAGGCCCCTCCAAGAGCTAAAGAGAGATGCTGTTCAGAGGTACCAGCTTCCGCTGGAGCGTTTTCTAGATTCTTAACCAGCTGGCAAAAATAATATCCAGCGAGATGGAACACTGTTGATGATACAGTTTTAAGTAAAACAGAGCAGAATACAGAGGAGCATGTTCGCCAAGAATATAACCATGCAAACTGTTCATTTCACAAATATTTATTGAAGGAAGGAAAAGGCCACAAGATGCAGCCAGATATGCAATCAAAACTGAATCTACCTTTTCAGCAATACCATTTTACAGCCATATCTCTAGAACTAGGATTCCTATAGCTCTACTGTAGATCCCACCGTGGGTGTCTAAAGGTGCTCACCGACTGGCTCCAGGCTCCAGGGCAGTCTGTTTCCTAGAGGAGAGCTTCTCGGATGTTTGCACCATTAACTCGGAGATCTTGATAAAATGCAGATTCTGATTCAATAGGTCTGGGGTGGGAAGAAGAGAGATTCTACATGCCAAACAAGCTCCAACTGATGCTAAGGCTGCTGGTCTTCTGAGTACACTTTGAGATACAAGTGCCAAAGGTGCTGGATAAATGGGAAACCCCAAGGGTCATTAGGAACCAGGAGCAGGAGACAGCCATCCACGCAAGTTGTGCCAACCCAGCAAGGTGAGGGGAGCACAGAAGATACTCAGCGAGGCTTCCATCCTCTACCCGAATTCCCAATACCAAGCACCTTTACCAGATGCTCAGCCTGGTCCCCCAGTCTTCAAGCATGCTAGCACCCTAAAGCATCCTTGTCCCCAAGCATCTTGGCACCACTGAGATGAGTGGTGACACACAAACTCCAGGCAATCGTATGGGATCTGGAGGGCCCTGAGGCCCCCAGTTCCTTGCGGAGCTTGAGTAATGACATCTTTCTGGAATGGGTCCCAGGGTCTGCGCTTTGCTGGCAGGTGGCACCAGAGGACAGCAGCAGGTGGCACCAGAGGACAAGCACAAGCTGCAACCAAGAGAATGGCTCAACAATCTGTCCAAAAAACCAGGATAAAGGTGAGCAAAGGAATGGAATGAGAGACGTGACCAAAAGTTGGGACAAAACAAACAGTTCTAGGAAGGGAGCTGGTGACTCAAAGAGCAGTTGTCTTTGGTGTCAGCTGTACAGGTTCTTGGTCAGAGGCCAGGCCAGAGAGATGATCAAATGTGGCTGTTCAATCTCCTGCTACCTGGCCCTTTGCCAGATGCCCTGTGTAGAGCCAACCCTAGGAGCCTCACAGTGAGGCCCCTCGAAGGGTCTGGGGACTTGAATACCCTGCCCTGGGAGGCCGTGGTGGGTCCAGCCACTAGCCACTCTGCAGGACTGAGCAGGTACAACCAGGTCTGGACATCCCATCCAAGGTGGTCCACAAGCAATCCTGACATTTCCCTTTCTGCAAGGACAAGTTGTCTGGTCCACACACAGATGAAGCCTTGGATCCAGAAGCCTGAACCTTGACCTCCACGGGTGAGATAGTCACACTCATCGTAGCCCTTTCTCCATTTCCCAGGCTGGCTGGAGGAAGGGGGACACTCTGCTCCTTTCAGCCCGTGCCCCAGACTTTAAGAACTCCCTCCCTGGCCCTGCCATCACTGAAAGCCGCTGGGAGGCCCAAAGTCCTGGGGAGGCTTCGGAAGAACGGTGACACATCACCTGGGGCAAGTCAGCTCAGGGGCAGAGTGGAACGATGGAGGCTGGAGTCATGGCCTTAAGTACTGTGTCTCTGCAGTGGGTGGACTGGGTAGGGTTGCAGAGTCCTTGGCCAACTGCCTTGTCAAGAGAGGTCCTGGGAGGCAAGGAAGGGCAGGCGAGAGAGTGTGGCTGCAGCAGCCTGAGCCCTTCCTACACTGGACTGTGGCGCAGGGTGCTGTCCTCAGCTGAGCACTCAGCAGGGGCACCTGCTACCTTTCTTGTCACCATGGTAAATCTTTCTGGAACTCTCTCCCTGTGCCAGGGACTGTCCCAGGCATAGGGGACCCAAGCTCTTCGACAATACAGATGTCACCCTCAAGGGGCCCACAGTCTTTTCAAGGACATATACTTGCAGGCTTATTTCCATTCAAGGTGGCAGATACAAAGAAAGAGAAAAAGGATGGAGTAGCATATGAACCCTGGAATTCCTGCTTCTCGGGGCTGATTTTCCTACTGCAGAGGAGTGTGAGCTGGCTGCCAGGGTCCCTTCTCTGCAGCTGGATGTGCTAATGATATACAGTAATCCCACTGTCTTGCCTCCATAGAACACTTTACCACTTACAAAGCCCATCCACAAACATCGTCTCCCACAGAGGTTAGGGGTTTACCAAGGTCCAGAGCTCTGACTCCATGTGTTCTTCCCCTCACCCCACCAGGGCCTTGCAGCCTCACTGGTTGAAGTGAAATCCCTGGGCTCCCGGCCTGGGCATCTGTTGCTGAGTTACCAGAATGAACTACAGACCATCAATCAGACCATCTCCGGCTCTGGCATCTGCTCAGGATGCAAAAGACATACTGTGTGTGACCTGCAGAATCCAGACTCAGAATTCTCCCAAGAACAATAGCTGAACCATCAGAATGCTCGGCTTCACAAGGCAAATGGATGCAAAAACAGGCTCTTGCTACCCTATCTGGGCCCCACAAAGCCAGTGCCACCCCCAGCTTGCAACGTGCCCACTTAGCTAAGTGAGGGAGGCTGGTAATGAACATGGCAGAGAGAAGCCCTAAACCTGGCTAGATGGGGTTGGACCTGTCACTGAGCCTCAGAGACCCTTTGGAGACTTCCGTGTGCACTGTGGACAGAGGCAGATGCTCGGACTCCTCCACAGGGACGCTCTGCTGGCAAGTCAGCACCAAGGCCTTGACCTCCTTCTTGAAGTTGGTGTTGAGAAAGCCATAGATGAAAGGGTTGACACAGGTAGAGGCCATGGCAAGCAGGTGGCACACCAAGAAGATGAGGTTGCCATGACAGATGGGGATGGCCTCATGGTACCAGTCCTCCAGGCTGTTGAACACATGCAGGGGCAGCCAAAGCACAGCAAAGGCAGCCACCATTACCACAAGGATCACATTGATCCGCTTCATCTGCCAAGCCCGAAAGCTGTAGGTGCCCTTGCGGAATACCCGTCCCCGCTTCCGCAGACGCTGGTAGATGCGAGCGTAGCAGACCAAGATGAAGGCCAGTGGGATGCAGTACTGGAAGAGCAGTAGAAAGGTGGTGTAGATGATGCGGTGATGGTCCAGTGGCCAGGACTCAGTACAGACCATCTTATCCACCAGAAACTCCAGAGCCTTGGAGTGGTTCTTATGAAAGACATTCTCTAGGATGCTGTTAGCCAGGAAGGGCAGGGAAAGGAAGCCCGCAATGAGCCAGATGACCACAATCCCCAGGTAGGCCTGGGAGACACTGGGTTTCCAGCCTGTTGGATTGATGATGAGCTGATGCCTCTCCAGAGCCACAAGTACAAGCGAGAGGATGGAGACGGTCACCGACATACACTGGATAAAGGCCGATATCTTGCAAAGGACCTCGCCAAAGATCCAGTAGTCCATGATGGTGTAGATAGCCGTGAGTGGCTGGCAGATGAGGCACATGAGGAAGTCAGAGAAGGCCAGGCTGGCAATAAGCAGGTTGGTCACATTGGCCTTCTCCTTCTGCCTAATGGTCACACATATCAGGCAGAGGTTTCCCAGGACGCCCACAATGGTCTCAACGCTGTAGGAGGTGACAATGAAGACCATTGGGTCTATGGAATCCTGGCAGTAGTCAGAGAAGTTGTATGGAGTGTACAGAGAACTTGACTTGCTCCTGTTTTGACCCTGTGGGGATTCTGGGAACAGCAAGGCCAGGAAGTGAGAGATGTTCATGGTGGATGTGAAAAGATTCCAGGAGATTCAATGATGACATCTGCAAAGCAAAGACAGATGGCACTGAAGGATAGTGCCTCCTGTGTGGAATCCAGGGAAGAGTGGGGACCAGGTAGAGATGTTCATGGCTGCTTCCTTCCCAAGGCTGAGACATAGAGGACCTGAAACTCAGAGATGTAAAGCAACTTGCCCATAGTCACACAGCTAATAAGTAATGGGGCCTAGATACAAACCCAGGTCTGTCTGACGTAAGAACCTGTTCCACAAATTCCCTCTGACCTCAGAGTTTGAGGCTATTTTGATGATAAAGAAGTTGGACTGTTGTATGCAGAGTTCAGGGACAGAATTATTTAGGGAACATGGGTAGAAATCCCCTTATCACATTTTATGCAAATAGAGACAGCAACACATTCTGCCATGAGCTCAGGTCCTTCCATGGCACCCCCTTTAGGACAGAACAAAAACCTCGGGGCTTGACACACAGTGTGCCTTCCTGGTCTCAGCCTCTACCTGCCTGCCAGCCTTGTTTCTCAGGTGACACATGGCAGAGTTGAAGACAGCCAGGCATGCAAAGACTGGGTCATCAGCACACCAGCTCTCTCCTCCTGACCCCTATGTGTACACACACACCAGGCCAAGGTCAAGGGATGCCCACTGCCTTCCCTATGGGTCCCCTCCCTGCCTATGCTCAAGTTACAGCTTGCAGCTCCCAGACACCAGCCTGGGCCATACCTCCATGTCCCGGCCCAGCCTGGCCATCTTCCTCTGGTGCCTCAACACAAGGGACTCTCTGACAAGACTTAATTGGAATTTGGACTCCAGAGCCTCCAGGTGGTAATGCCAATGACAGATATTTTGACGTGGAGCTTCACCATATCACCACACACCATTGGGGCTCACCTTCCTCATGACTTCTCTAGTCATCACTAATCCCACAAGCAGTTCTCAACCTTCAGGAGGCATCAGAATCATTCTAGGAGCAGATTGAAAGCGCAGATTCCAGAATCCCTCACCAGGACATGCAGTTAAGTGAGTCCAGGATGGGGCCCAGGAATCTGTATTTTAACAACTGACCCATATGACTCTGATGCACATGGTCCTTGGACCCCATTTTGATAAGTACTGTTCATAGAGGAATACCCTCTTTCAGATATTCTTTAAGGCTTTATAAACGTCGTGTCTATTTGTGAACTGTGAACATTATATACGTTCTTTATGTTCAAGTGCTAAGTTAGAGACAGTTTTTACAGGGTATAGCCAAAATTAACCAGAGGTCAATAAAACCTATTTGTCAGCCGTCGAAAACGTCACTCAGTGTACATTTAATTTGGCTTATAAAGATGAGTCACATTTTGCCACGTACAAGATCGTCATGAATTCGAATGACAGTTTATAGTCTGGTTATTTCAGCTACCCAATCCCAGAGGCAAGAGGATTTTTCTGGTACCTCAGTCTTCAGGCAAAAAGAGTCATTTGGAATTGAATGTGACAAAATGAAATATACCAGGGCGAAATATAAGGCCCAGTATTTGAGTGAAAAAACAGCCATAGCTGCATGCAACTGTGGCAGATACACTGTGCTCAGAAGCAGCAAATAAGATGGAAACCCAAGACTCTGGTTAACCAACAGCCAGGGTCAACAATGGGAAACAACACCATTTGTTCCAAACTGGCCAAGCTCAGCATGATCAGAGTGCCATTACTAGACAGGGAGGGCTCCAGAAAGTCCTCCCTGCTTCATTCATTCATTCACCCAATAAGCATATACCAAGTCCCACGCTAGAAACAAGGTCTGCAAAGATGACTTATACAGCCATGTCCCTCCCAGACCAGAGGAACTAGCCACCAGGAACACAGATGAACCTCAATGCCACATTGCCATCGCCAAAACCAGCATGGATGGAATGCCTGTGAGCTGGGAGATCAAGGAAGGAAGCAGGGAGATGAGAGAAGAGGGGACATGGATCCAGGGCTCAAAGGATGAAGAGGAGTTAACTATCCAAATAGACAAGGTGGAGGAAGGAATTCAAGGTACAGGGAACAGGGTACAAAGGCAAGGAGGCAGGAAAGAAGAAAGCCTCCTCAGAGAACAGTAAGCAGTTCAGAATAACTAGAGCCTAGAGTAGGTGGAAGGGAGTGACAAAAGATGGGCTGGAGAGGTGGACCAGACCAGGAATGCTGGGTGAGCTGCTGAAAGGCTGCCAGCAAGCCCAAGATCATTCCAGAAAGGTCACTTGGATGTAGAGAATAGATTGAGGGTAAGGGCCAAGACAGGAGGAGGGGGAGGGCTGAAGGTAGCACTGGGGATCTGCCTGGCTTGCAGCCCTCTTCTCAGAGAATCCATAAAGAGCTAACACAAGGGATGGTCACCAGTGAGCCAGGAAACCCCACACCAGTCCCTGCTGATTAGACCACAAAGATGCCTGAACCCAAATCAGCCCTTCCCAGCAGCTTCTGGGACTGGGGCAGAGGAGGGAAGTGATGGGGCTGGGAGAGCATCAACATGGGAAGGAGATCTTTGGGGGACCAAGAAAGGAGCAGAACAGCCAACTGGCCCTTGCATCTTTCTCCAGAGCTGCAGATGCTGGAAGGGAGCACCAGGGAGGGGACCACTCCATAAGCCCCTACCCCAGAAAGGCCCTCTGTACACAGGAACTGAAGATTTCCAGAAGCATTCTCCAGGGGCAAGGCAGTAATAATTCAAACCCCTGAGCCCCAGGTCAGCACGAAAGCTGGTTTCCTTCTGTAGAAAGTGCACAGGGGTAGTAGGGAGAAGGCAGTGGCAGCACGCATGCAGAGGTGACTCTGGTCTGAGTTTGGTCCCGCAGACACATGGAGGCCCAAGCAGCCTCAGGGGCTGTACCTGGGCGGGGGTTGGGGAGAGAATGGAAGCAACTGAGCCTGCCATACCCAGAGGAGCAGGAAGGGGAATTTGGAAAGACAGGCAGGGGAGGGAAGGAGGGAGCCCAGCCTTTGCAGAGAGCCCAAGGAGGGGGTGTGTCTTGCCTCACCCTGGAGAGCGCACACTTTGCTGGGAGACAGAGGGCAGAAGGGACTTTAGCCTTCACTGAGCTCTGGGCACATCTCCCTGAGCATTAATCCACACTGCAGCCCTGGGGGGAAGGCATTCCTAGGCTGAACCATATGAAATTGCCAGTATCCAAGCACTTTCAACCTGCAAAGACAGCAAATTCATATGGTTGGATCTAATATCAGCCCCATTTCAAAGAGGAGGACACTGAGGCCCAGTTAGATGAAGGGACCTGGCCAACGTCCCCACAGTCAGTAAGTGGCAAAGCTGAACTGGAACACTGGTCAGTCTGATTCTGAAGCCCCCTGCACCAAGCCCTGCCAGACAGAGAGATTTTGAAAAGGAGGAAAGAGGAGCAGGGCCTGTCTTGAAGCAGGAGGTGAACTAATGTGGGGCAGGTGGAGCGGTAGAGGCAGGGTTGGAGGTGGACATCCAAGGTCCCCAACAAAGCATGACTGGGTGAGCACCTGGGGGTGCCGGGATGTGGCTCGCCCAAGTGAGAAGATGCCCCAGGTGGGGTGGCAGCTGCCCAGCGTCCCCTGGCCTCGGGCCCCAGTATGCTGGCTCAGAGCCCCCTCCTCCCGGGGCAGCTCTGCGGACAGCCCAGCCTCACCAGCCCCTCATCCTTCCCAAGCAGATGCAGGTTTGGAGTCCCTAATGGAATGACACTCCTAGATAGAGCCGCCTCCTTCCCGACACAGTTCAGCACCCCAGAGGCCCCTCGCCGGGGCAGAACACAAGAGCACAGCTCCCAGGGGAGAGACATGGGCTTGAAGGGCTATCACAAGCGAGTGTCTATCCCTTGCAGCCTCCAGCAATGCAACTCTACCTGGATCACCTCAAGGTGATCACATCCACTCCCCAGGGCTGCTGAGCTGGGGCCACTCCGACCACTTCAGACCCTTCTGGGTGATTTGGAGTTCCCCCGAGGGCCCTCACACCAAGACTGTCCCTCACTTCCCACTGCATTCCTCAGAGATGCCCAGTGAGGGCCAGGAGACCTCAGGTCCTCCAGGCACACCCCAGGGGGTGGCGATTCTGGGAGCAGGAAGGCAGACTACTGTGCAAAGTCAGTGAAATAGTGTCTCCGGGTTTAGTTCCCAAGCAGCTCTTGTGACAAGGTGGGAACACCTGCAACCCGGGGGCGGGAGCCCTCCACTGCAGCCTGCCTTCCCAGCACTCAGAGGAAAACTAATGGATAATACAAATAATATCATTTCTCCCATGAGGTAAGAATGGAGAGAAGAATGTCTGCTTTGTTTCCCGAAATTTCAGCAAACAGCTTCTGTCTCCTAAAGCCCGCGGCACCCACATTTTCCACGCACCCCTGCTCTCCCGGCAGCACACAGGTGAGGACAGGTGAGACTGAAGGAGCCCAAGTCCGCTCGAGGAGCAGGGCTCCCCGCACGGCCCCGGTTGCGCGGCTCTGAGCCCCTGCGAAGCCTACCCGGCGACCCCTCCCCAGGCGCCCGGCAGAGGAAGCGCAGGCTTCCCGGGGAACCCTCGGGCCCGGGTCCCTTCCGCCCCTGAGATCCACGGGGCAAATCGCGGGGCCTGCGCCGGTCTCACCTGCTCCGGCGGCCCGGCGCTCTCTGCGTGCGGGGCGGAGCCGCCCTGCCGGTCTCCCCGCCCGCTCGCCTCCCTCCCGCGCCGCCGCCGCCAGTGCCCGCCCAGTCCGCCGCCCGCGCCGCCCTTGAGGACGCTCCGGCCGGCCGCCGGCGACCCAGGCGCCTGCTCCGGAGCTGCGGCCGCGAGCCCTCCCGTCCGCCGTGCGCCAGGAGCTGCAGCCCCGCACGCCGGCCTCCCCAACGCCCACCCCGACCCTACACACCAGCGGGCTGGAACTGCCCTGTTGGTGTTCTCTCGGAGCCCCAGTGTTCTCATCCATGAAATGGGCATAAGAAGACCTGCCTTTCATAAACTCGTTCACAAATATTAATTACAGGTCTCCTATGAACCTGGCTCTCCTGCTAGACACAGAGCTGAGCAAAACAGAGTTCCCGTCCTTGTGTTATCCTGGAGTTCCCAGCCCTGGGGGGAGAAGGCCCATCAGGGGCAAGTAAATAAGTTAATAAGTTATTGCAGGGAGTGAGATGCTGTGGGGAAATGGGTCAGCTTTAGATATGTGGGCCAGGCAGAGGGCACAGTAAGCGCAAAGGCCCTGAGACTGGAGGCATTGGCTCACTGGAGATCACTGAAGGCGGTGTGGCTGGAGAATGCCAGGGCTTTCAGAGGTGCATGTGGGAACAGTCAGGGAGGCCCTGGTAGATCCTGGAAAGGCCTCTAAGATTCTTGCAACAAGAATCAAGTAAGAAAGCACTTCTCCATTGGAGTCAACGTGAAACAGGACTTGCCTGAAAGGGGACAATGTTTATTACAAAGGCTGCTCCAATTCTGAATACACTAACTTATAATTTCCTCCAGAAGGCCACATGGTAAAATCACATGTGTACTTGGAGGACCTCCTGAGAGTAGGCTTTGCTTCTGAGGAACTGCCTAAGTATCCGACATATACAACTCTTCTCTAAAACCTTCCATGGCTCCAACTCACAGAAGCGGAGTAAAGCAGCGGTTACCAGGGGCCAGGGGGTTGAGGAAATGGGGAGATAATTGGTCAAAGGGTCCAAACTTCCTGTTATAAGATTAACAATTTCTGGGGATCTAATGTACAGCTTGGTGATTATAGCTAATGATACTGCATTATATACTTGAAAGTTGCTAAGACAGTAGATCTTAAATGTCCTCACCAGGAAAAAAAGAAATGGTAATTATGTGTCGGGATGGAGGTATTAGCTAATGCTATGGTGGTAATCCTTTTGCCATATATAAATGTATCCAATCAACTCATTGTACACCTTAAATGTACATAATGTTATACATCAACTATATCTCAATAAAGCTGGGGGGAAAAAAACCTTCCATGGCTCCCCATGACCCACAGGACACGGCCCAGACCTCCCAGCCGCTCCCCCCAACACACCAAGTAATCCCAGAGGCACCATCCATGGTGCCGACTATGGAAATGTTTCCAGAGTTGTGGGCAGTGACAGCTTTCTAGAATGACAGCTGTCATTTATGGCCCATGTGGGCTCTGCAGACGTTACCCTATTGGATAATCACAACAGCTCTGAGAGGTGGGCATTTTTATTTCTGTTTTACTGATGAAGCCAAGTGAGACTCAAGCATTGAGCAACTTACCCAAAGGCACTCAGCTAAGAAACACTCAGATCCAGCCTGCCAAACACCCATATGCCTCTGCTCACTGGCCCATCCAGGTTTGCAGCTGCCATGTCTTCTTTCAGGACCACTCTCGTCCCTGCCTTGATTGCCTGGGAAAATGCTGCTCCTCCTTCGCAGCCCAGCTCCGATGTCCCCTGTGCCATGACGCATTCCCGCAGCCTTCTGTGCTCTGCTGCAGAGGCAGGTGGCGAAGCCTGCTTGTATGTTTACACAACATACTCCCCGTGTCTAGGGCACTATTCCTCGTCTCTGCCCTCAGAGCTCAGCATGGGTCCATATACAGTGACAGCATCTGACAAAGGAAGGAAGGAATGCATTTGACGGAACTTAATCATAATGATGGCTTCCAGGAGCCTAAAGTGAAGAGTGTTTGGGACTTCCCTGGTGGTCCAGTGGTTAGGACTCTGTGCTTTCACTGCAGGGGGCAGGGGTTCGATCCCTGGTCAGGGAACTAGGATCCCACAAGCCGCGCAGCGCGGCCAAAAAAGTAAAAACTAAAAAAATAATAAAGTGAAGAGTCTTTCCTGTCCAGAAACCATTCACCTATAGACACCTGTTCTCTGTGTGGGCAAGAACTCAGACACTGACAGCTCCTCCTCGTGGGGAAGCTGTGTGGGGCCGAGGGCTGAGATCTTACAGGTGAGCCCTTTGAGCAACTGCCCAGGGCTCCCAGGCCTGAGCCTGAGCCCCCATGGATCAGAGAGCAGCTGAGGGAACAGTGAAAATAGTGACCAGCTCCTGCGCTAGGCAGCAGCACTTTCTCTTATTCCATCCTCATTCCCACCTTGTGAAGTATGATCACCCCATTTCACAGGTGAGAAAACTGAGGCTCAAAGAAGTGGAATGACTTGTCTCAGTCATCCAAACTATAGACGGTGGGGCTGGGGTTTGAACCCAAAGTCCGAACTCCTTCTTCAGCACCGGAGAGCCCCCGAGAAGGGGAAGGAGTGCCTGATAGCAGACATTCCTAGTTAAACCAATGCAGCAGGAGCTAGCTATCAGACCCTTTGCTCAGCCAGGGAAGGAAACAGCAACCCCTGGTGGCAGCTGAGCCCTGAACAGAGCAGAGCAAGAATATCTGGAGCTCCCCAAGAAAGCAAAGCCCATGAGCAAGAAACCGGGAGCTGTATTTCCCCACTCGCTGGCATCTGGGGCCAGGACCCCAGTCTGGGAGGTCCTGCCAGTGGCCAGGCTGCATTCTGCAGTCTCTGAGGAAGGGGCTCAATAGGGTTCTCCCTGCACCATAAAAGTGCCTGGCTTTGTCCAACCTCCTAGACATTGACCTTCCTTAATAGCTTAGTGACAGACCTCACTTCTTGTCCCCTTAGGAATGTTCCACGTGAATCACTTTGGAGTCAAACAGGTGTATTTGGCCCTCAACAGCTCAAAGTTTGAACTCTCAGTCCACTGCAAGGTCAATCAATGCTGTCCTTGGTCTGATGGAGAAAGCTAAGGGTCAGGAAGTGAAGATGGACCCAATCCACTTCCTTGCTGGCAATTTGCTATTACTTTGAGCATCCTAAGAACCAGTGTGGTGAGTGGTCAGGAGCTAGGCGTGGGAGCCAACTCGCCAAGCCTCAGATTCTCTTTTGTAAAATGGAGTCAGTAATAAAATTGCTTGAGAAAAAATGAGATGAGATGCAAACAGCTCCTAGTACAGTCCCTGGCAGGACACACATCCTGGAGATCTGTGGCTGCTGTTATCATTCCTGTGTCCTATGTGCCTGTCCACCTCCCTGAGCTCCCTACCCACAGCTAATGAGCAGTCCCTACCAATTCTAGTTGAAACCTCTCCAGCCACATGGCACGATCCACACCTCTCTCCTGAATTAGTCCAACAGGGTCTTAACAGGCTCTACGTGCTCAGCCATGCGAGCCTG